CACCACACCGTGGGGGGGGCGCCCCCAAACCCCCACGCCCCAGCTTTGGGGGTCCCCCAGGGCTTACCTTGTACCATGGGAGGACTCGCGCGGGTCCCTCTGTGCAGGGATCAGTGTTTGCAGAGGTTTATCCGAAACCATTTTTAAAGTTCCCACCTCTTCCTCCTGCCTTTGGCAAGCCTCAGAAGGGAAGAATGCTTTTTTCCCTCTTTTCCCTCCTAGCTCAGAAATCTATTTTTGAAATGTGATGACTATCAGCCTAAGAAATATGGAAGTCAATAGTTATACAAGGAGAACAATTATTCCAATTGTTCCTCAACAAAATGATATTCACTAAATGTAGGCATCCCTCTGCAAGAAGGGGAAGAGAGAAGAAACTCTGTTCCAGAAACCAGAATATGTTTGTGAAAGACAAGATCCAATTCAGGACTCATTATGCCCAAATGATCAAAACACACTGATAATACACCTGCCTTCATGTACAGTAAAAGCAAACAAATCCACTGACTCTCACATTTAATGGGCTGCTGAATGACAAGCAGCGCAACATTTATTAAAATCTGTGTATGTGTTATCACACTGCTAATAGTGGCCATATTGTTTACTGGACTAATCACTGTGGAAAGACACCTAGTTAGTGGTAGCTATAAATACTCAAAACCTTGTGTTAGGAGTCTGCCAATTATTATTTTTTTAAAACCAATAAAAATGTGTTGTCCTGAATGTCACCCATTCCAGACCATTAGAACTCTATACAGATCACAAGCTACTCCGAGTATGTATTTTTGATTATAAATAGGAACCAAGTGTGTGTGTGTGTGGGGGGGTGTTAAATGTTTCTCTTCATTAAGAGGAGACTGATTTCTTTTATCAGAGTATTTAATTAACAAAACACCAGTTCAGGCATGCATGATTCTAACTCCATTGAGTATGCTTATGATTGGTGTAAGTCCTGTAAACACAGTATGTCTGGCTTCCCAATAAACATGCACAGGATTGCACTGTGCGTGTGTCTCTTTAACCATGGTACTTTCTGTTATATTCTTCCCCTTTCCTCATTTAATTAAATATTCTTTACACTCTATATTATACATGCTATAATTTAGTACATTGTTGTATACTATACAAGTGTGTATACGTACTATACATACTATGGTATACAAATAAAAGAGGTATAACATCTCTCGGTATGGAGAGAATGATGGTCGGCTCCAAGTCTCATCCCAGAGAGACGCCCAGAAGAATACCACGGTTGATGGTATTGAAAGTCACTAAGAAGTCCAGCAGAATCAACAGGGACAGACACTCCCCCTGTCCAGCCCCTGGCATAAATTATCCACTAAGGCAACCAAAACAGTCTCTGTCCCAGGCCTGAAGCCAGATTAAAATGGATCTAGATAATTTGTCTCATCAACTCCTGGAGCTGAGAAGCCACAACTCACTCTAGCACCTTCCCCAAGAATAGAACATTAGAGACTGACCAGTAATTATCCATTACCATTGGACCAAGGTGGTTTTTTTTTCATTAATGGTCTCACTACTGCCTTCTTTAAGCATGCTGGGATCCTACCCTGCTGCAAGGAGGCATTCACCATTCTTTGTACCCACTGAGCCAGTTTTTCTCTGGCAGCTTTTACAAGGCAAAAAGGGCAAGCATCCAGCAGACAC